TTTTTTTTTTTTTTTTTTTTTTTTTTTTTTTGTCTTTTTTTCGTGTCCGGCAACGGATCGCAACCCTCAGTGTTGCCCCCGTACCGGACCAGGAACCGGCAACGGGATTGCAACCCTCGGCGTTGCTCCCGCGCCTCGCTCAGCCAGTGAGCGGGAACCGGTCTGTATGTGGGATCCGAACCCTTGGGCGGGAGCGCCGCTGCGCTTCCCAAGCGGCGCACTATCCAGTGCGCCACCGGGCCGGCCCAGATTTCTTGATATATGTGTAACTTTATAAGAAACTGCCAAATAGTTTCCTGCCAGCAGTATGAGAGTTCTTTATTCCATATCCTTGCTAACATTTGGTGTTGTCAGTCTTTTTTATTTAGTCATTCTAGTAGATGTGTTTTAGTATCTCATTTTGATTTTAACTTATGTTTTCCTAGTGACTAATGAAAATGATTGAGCACAAGTGTGTGTTCACATTGTCTGTTCATCAGTTTTCTTTGGGAAAGTGTCCATTCAAGTTTTTTCCCCTGGAATTTTAATTACTTTGCCTTTTTATTATTATATTTATTATGTTATCTACTTACAGGATTTTTTTGGGGGGGTATACTCTGGATACAAGTTCTTTGTTAAATATACATATGCAGCCAGATTTTTTTCCCAGTCTGTGGCTTATCTGTACATTTTCTTAGGGGTGTCTTTGAGCAGAAAGCTTTAAAATTTGATGGAGTTTGATTTATCAGTTTTGTGTCATATAATTTGTGCATTTTGGTTTTTGTCAAAACAATCTGTGCCTATCCTAAGGAGCAAATATGTTGTCGTGTGTTTCCTTTTAGAATCTTCATGATTCTGTGTTTAACGGTTATGTCTATGATTCATCTTGAATTAATTTTTTTGTATGGAATGAGATAGGGATTGAGGGGGTTTTTTCCCACATGGATATTTAGTATTTTCAAACGCAGTTTTTATATAAATACTTTTCTTTCTTCATTGAATTGCTATGGCACCTTTGTTGAAAGTCAGTTGACCATGGTATGGTCTGTTTCTAGACTCTTTATTCTGTTTCACTGATGTACTTGTAAATATTCATGCCAATACTACAATCCTAATTGGTATAGCTTTATAGTAAGTCTTAAAATATAAATATTATAATCATCTTTTTACTTCTTTAAAGGAGCCTATTAGAATTTTGATAGGGATTGCATTAATGTATTAGTTTAGGAAAAATGGACATGAATCTCTCCGTTCATGAACATGTTCTTTCCATTTGACTTCTCTTAGTGGTGTTCTGTAGTTTTCAGGGTCGAATTCTTACACATCCTCTATTTGTTTATTCCAAAGTGTTTCTTTCTATCTTTCTTTTTTATTATATTATTAATGGTAATTTCTTAAAATTTCATTCTCTAATTGTTTGTTGCAAGATTTGCTGATTTCCTAATTTTGAGTTCATTGTTTCCAAGAGACTAAATTCTTCTAACTCCAGTGAAATGCATTTCAATTTAGTACTGAAAGAAAATGGAAGTCAGTTAAAATAAATGCACTTTGCAATATACCTATTCTGTTAATTAGGGGTATCAGTAATTTTTCTACTTGATTGGTGAATGTCATCCTCAGAACTCCCAGTTGTTTGTAAAATTCAGCTGTAATTTTTCTGAGAATATGAGGAAGTCCGTGTTAATTTTTATAGCTGTTCCGGGTTCTTCAATTAGATAGTAAACCCCAACAATATAGAATGCTTTAGATTACATCTGTCTTTCATTTGATAAGTGAATAAATGAAATGAGAATAGCTTTGTGCTCTTGAGTGGGAAAGTTTGGCTAGTGGGGATTAAAGGTAGGATGGGAAAGAAATAAAATAAGCCTTGACAACAAGAGGAAAATTACTGGTCTTTTAGGGTGATAACGAATGATTGATCCTGTCTCCCACATGAAGTCTCAGATTGAGAAGTAGTAGAAAAAAATTAACATTCACTATGGGATCGGAAAGTCTTAAAAACTCTATTGGGGCTTATTTTCTCATTGGCAATAGAGAGTCATTTCAGATTTTAAAGTTAAGAATGTGCATGATATTGATACCATTTTACTAGTAGAACTTGTAATTGAAACTTCTTAAAAAGTTATAGTGTCTGCTGTATTCCAGTTTTAAACTGTAGACCTAACTGCACCGTGTTTTAATTTCTCATGGCTGCAGAAACAAACTACCATAAACTCAGTGGCTTACAACAACAGAAATTTACTCTTTCACAGTTCTGGAGACCAGAAGTCCAAAATCAGTATAATTGGGCTGTATTGGCAGGGCTGCACTCCCTCTGGTGTCTCTGGGGCGAATTCATTTCTTGTCTTTGCTAGCTTCTAGTGGCTGCAAGCTCTCTTTGGCTTGTGGCTGTATCACTCAGTCTTCAAGACCAGCACTTCAAATCTGTCTCTGCATCATTTTCACATCACCTTCTCCTATTTGTGAGTCAAATCTTCCTTTGCCTTTTTCTTATAAGAACACTGTGATTGCATTTAAGGCCTACCTAGATAATCAGAGATAATCTCCCCGTTTCAAGATCTTTAATCATATCTGTGAATTTCCAGATAAAGTAACATTTACATGTACCATATATTAGGACTTGATCATCTTTAGGGTTCATTATCAGCCTATCACAGACTGTATTATTACTTTTTAGACCTTCACTTTGTTCTAGAAGTTACTGTCGAAACATTGGGCTGAGGCTTTTAGCACCCCAAATGACATACTTACTTCCTTGTTATGATTGCCATTTTTTAATGGAATTTATCCTTAAAATGGATGTCATCGAATGACATTGAATTCTAGTAGCACTACAGAATAGACTTGAAAGGCTCAGGTGGTGAGTTATTCATTTTAAGTAGTAATCAGGAAAATACTTGGGGAAAAATATTAGGGAAAGAGATTGAATTATACTTTGACTGTCATACAACTGATGTGTGACTCATAAAATTTAGCTTTATCACTAAAGTGATAGCTTTTAGTTTGGGGCAGCCAGGAACTAATTCCTGGTTTTGTAGGGCTTTCTTGGTCAGGTTGATTTATGATCAGGCCTAACCTGTTCTATTCATTGTACCAAGTAGACTGTACTAAGGCCACTTTTTATAGTAGCCTATTAGAAATTACCTATCATTTAATCTGTACTCTTACTCTGTAGCTAGAAGTTTAGAATAATTTCTCCAGCTCCTTACTTAATGCTTGTGACATATTGAGATTGAGAGTTTTAACATGTAAATGTGCCTTAAATATATAGTGCTGGCATGTTTGAATACGTTGCATGTAATAACATTGAGTCTCATACCAAGCTTGTTATACAAATCTTCACATTGTTTTAGAGGAATGAGTCAGCTACAGAACTTTAATGTAGCCAACTCTGTTTTAGCCTTGGGATATTTCTTGAATATCCCAACTTTAGAGATTGCCATATTCTCAGTTTGGGAATAACTTTTATGAGCATCATTTGATAAATCATGGCCAAAGAAGATGAAATAATAAAGCCTTAGCTTCCTTTTCTTTCCTTCAGTCATTATATTAATTAGTTTTAATATCTAAATGTTGATGGATTTGGAATAAGAAGTGATAGTTTGCCAAAGAGAAAGTGGAAGCCTGAATCTCACTGTTTGCCCTATAATCTTTCTCCCAGCATATAAGATATTTTCTAGTTCTGTGTAACCTAATATCAGAATTGCTCTTGCTCTGTTAGTGAAGATCATCAGGAATATGGAGAAGTTCACCGTGAAAACAAATGCACTGTGAAAGGCAGTAGTCCATGACATAATTAAAAATTTATATACTTTCTGAATTCTGGATTAAGAATTGAAGTAATTTGGCTTCAAGTTACTTGCCACAACTTATTGAGTGACTTTGGACTTAGCAACTTGGATAATAAATAACATGGTACTTAAAATTGTTTGTGCTCTTTTAATGTCTGTAAAGCAGTCAGTGAGAGAATGTAAATGATTGTACCATTGATTCCATATTGATGTACCATGAAATGTTAATAAAGAAATTACTGCATATTGAAAGCATTCTTTAAAATTTCTTAGTGTTAGAAAACTCAAGTAAGAAAGATTCTTTAATGAATTGTTATATTCAAATGTTTTATTGAGGTCTTTAAAGTTGTGTCTTACAGATCTGTCCTAAAATAACCAGTTTTCAATAAAAATTTGTGTTTGGAGATTTATAACTTTAAATTCTTCAAGGCTGAGGAAAAACATGAGAGAGATTTTATTTTTATAATTAGGTACATTTTTATTTTAAATTATGATTCTATAATCTAATTTCATAAGAAAAATCTAGTAGTCATATTGTAATGGTATCTACAGCCAAGCAGATTATATAAGGAAGGCTTTATACTCTGCATAGTTTGTGCTCTTCCTTTTACATGTACTGCTTGTCTGCACGTACCTATTTCTATTTGTGTTAGTCATCCTCTCTAGGTAAATTGTCCATGAGACCAGTGATTCCATGAACAAATTTATCCAGAAAATGCTGTCTTTGCACGTTGTGACAGATCATGTCACTGGTGGATTTATAGCTACTCCATTTGTCTAATTAACCTGGCAGTTGTCTCCTGTGCCCAACACTGTTGTCTCATTGCCTTGGCGTCTTAGTTTTCATTATCTCATTGCCTTCTCTCCTAACTAGAGCTCAGATTTACTTTTTTTTTTTTAACCTACCCCTCCTCTACTCTCTCTATTCACTACCCCTCTTATTTTTGATTGGCAGTATCATCCAGATAAACAAAGTACAGATGTGCCAGCAGGAAGACTGGAGGAATGTATACAGAAGTTCATTGAAATTGATCAGGCATGGAAAATTCTAGGGAATGAAGAGACAAAAAAAGAGTATGACTTGCAGCGGCATGGTAGGTACTTGTGGTGAGGAGCCACAGCACATCAGTAACTCTTTGAAGCACGGTCTACAGCCATTCCTGGGGAGCATTTTCCAGCATTTGCACCAAGTTATTATTGCCGCCTACTCCTCCCCTCCATCATTATTTTTAATTATGCCCTATTCTTAGTAGTGATTATTGTGTATCTATTGAGAAGTTAACAAAACTACTAGTATGTGGCTTCTTGTGAAGCCATGAGAGCTACTTTTTATTACTACTGAAAAATGTTTAATTACACATTTCTAATTAGTATGTTTATATGTTTAAAAACTTCTTTTCATTAAATTTAATTTGTATCAATTAAAATTTTAACCGTAGTACTTCTCAAGACCGTATACTATATAAATGACAGTCTAAAGGAAGTTACCATATAGGATAACATCATAAAGCACTCTGCTGTCTTTTAGCTTGTTTAAGGCTAGGTTTCATGATTATCTCTAGGATAAACTATTCTTTATGAAATTGTTACAAATGATATATTAGGAATGCATATTACCTATGCTGTCTTAAAAGTCATTTCTTTTATGCCTTTTAGAAAATAGCTTCTTAAAACAGTGACAAGCTGTTGTGAGAAAGAAAGGGAAAAATGTAGGTCAGGTTTGTCACACATGGATTGCAGTTACACGAAGTGATAGGCTGTCTTTCAGCACTGGCCTTGGGACAGGAATCCCTCAGCCTTCTATCTGAACCTTCAATATGCACCCTACATGGTAATGGGGGGAGTCAATAATCAGTTACAGCCTGTGGGGAAAACACTCAATTGCTCTCTCCAATAGCACATCAGGCTCAGCATTGACTCAGATGTGTTGATAAAAGCTCACTGTCTCTGTAGTTGATTATTGAATCCCTTCCCATGCCGTCAAACCTCACAAAATGATTTTAAGGCATTTACTACTAAGGTTATAAAACTTTGATTTGAGAAGGGGGCTTTATTTCTAAAACACAGCATCACAGGAAAAAGCCAGTGATGTTTGTAGAACATCCATATTTATTTTCAGAGGGAGTTGTACTGATAAAGTATTTCTTATAGGCAGTGTGTGATACCATTGTATGAAAAGGCTTCATGAGCTATTTATGTACTGCAGTATTTGTTTTTTAATAGTGACTTCACTATAATATTAATCAGCTTTAAGGCCTTTCTATTTTTTAAAAAACTGATGAGCTTACTTTTTAAAAAACATTAAGATGAGTGGACCTTCACAAGGAATTTCCATCAATTTTCAAATATAGCTTGAATATTGGATTCTACTTCTATTTGGTACATATTATCAGCACTGTTCTAATGTATTTCTTTTGTAAGTGTGTTTGTACTTCTGGGAAAAGAATGTAAAGGTGGCTTCATTTGATAAACTCTGTCCCTAGATACATCTTTTTGACCTTGGTTCACGTGATAGTAATTTCTATGAAAGTATTGAAACTAATGCACTTGAATGTGTTGTGTGGGTCATCTATGTTCCTAAAGCCACCAAGCTCCACTGGAGACGATGATTCTTTCATGGTGTTTTTGCACATCTTTACTAGTCTTTACTAGGTGGGGTGCCAATTTGCTTAAGATGAGAATAATTCACACAAAACCGTAGCCTAAAGAGTGTAGGTTATGTACTTTCAATGTCACTCTGCATTTTGTCACTCCACAGCCTGTGTACTATTAAGAACATATCAGTGAAATTGACTAGAAGCCTGCTGAATTCTCAGAGTATTCTCTCTTGGTAGAGTACAAGGTAGGACAGACCAGAAATGAAATAGGAAACAGTTAAAAGTGAATGTAGAATTGCACAAAAGAAGGTTAAAAAGATGTAAGAAGAACAAATAATCAATATATTCAAGTCTTTCTCATTATCTTTTGAGAGGTCCTTGGAACTGTGGATTTCTTTTGAGCTTTGAGTCCTTGGTTTTAAGCTTCTAATGGAAACAAGTGGCCTGGTGTATCACAGGGGACCCTTATAGGTCACTGATGAGTTCATAATGAAGTTTAGACAAATCAAATACAGGGAGTTTGGGCCTGATTCATGATTCAGATAAATAGCTTGGGATTTATATAATATCAGTTTGCTTTGCAAGTTTTTCAGGTGGGTGACTACTGAATTGAACTATTCTAGAAGGACAATAGAAATAGAACTTTTCACAACACTTTAGTACCTCATATCTACTTAGATTTGTACTTAGTAGATAGTACTTACTAAATATTTTCTTCCTTAGCAGAAGTTTCCAGTAGTAAGAGTGCTTCACTTCAGTTTTAAATGGAGATTGGCCTGCTGTTTGGATAAGAAAGAGAAGTGTCTCTTATCCATATATAACTTGCTGTTTTTAAACCTTTCATACCAGAGTTATTTTTTAAAAATCTCATAATAAACCTACTTTCATATTGTTATTTCTTTTGAATACCAATATTAATTTTTTATCCTTGATCCATCTTCAATAAATTGTTTCTCAAAAAAAGGAAATGGACTTGAACTTCTAACAGTGAGGATTTAAATTTGATAGAAGGAAACCTTTTGAGAGTGATAATTTGTTAAAGACCGGGATAGGTTACCAAGAGAGAGAGAATTTGTTATAACCAGGTCAAAGCACTCTTTTTTTCTGGGTCACCCCCTGGGGACATGGAAATAGCTTTGTTACACAGAACTCTTTTTACATGTGGTGATAGTTCATTGTAAAACTTTCTTTTTATAGAGTGCGCTTTAACTATGCTTGTTTCCTGCCGCCATTAATTTGCAGTATAAAATAAACTTGAGCTCTGTAATACTTGAGAAGGAGGTAGGAGATGCTTTAATGGCTGATGTTGAATGCTTTCTCTTCACAGCTCAAAGTTGGTGCTCTGTTGTATGGAAAGCCTCATCAATATTGTGCACAGCCACATATTTATCTAAAAGATAATTTAAAGGGTAATCCATATTTGTTTCTCAAAAGAAATTATCAAATGGGTTCTTTCTAATAAGGAACGAGTAATAGTCTAGAGCAGATAACCTAAAGTAAAGTACATATATTTTTTCTCCTTCATTTCCACTTCTGTATTCTTCTGTATTCTTAGTTGGTGTTTTAGGGCAATGTTGGCCAGTCTGAAGAAAAGCAAATCTAAGAAAAGGATGAGTAATATTTGGTTCCCAGAGATTATACATTTTGAAAGCAATGTTAATAGTGAATTAATCAATTAGTTCCAGTTGGCATATTTACTTTATTGTTTCTAAGGATGCTTCCGAAGGCTGCTTCCAGTGTTCCCTGAAAGGCATGTAGTTATTCAAGACTAGGCTTAGCATTTCAACCAGACGAGCACTTTGGAAAACCCTTTCAGGATTTATAACATGTTCACATCAATAATATGTTGCATAGTTTTGGGTGCCTTTATAAATCTTTTGGGGAGTTTTCTCATATAATAAGCACATTAAAAAACACATCAGAAGTATATTGTGGAAAAGTAATAGAGATCATAATTCAGTAGCTTTATAGTGTGACAGTCACAGATCTCTGATGTCTCAGTGGCTCTATGGAGTTACACAGTGTATGAGTTAATTTCTTCTCTTTCACCTAAAGAGTAACAAACCTTCAAATGAGGTTAATCAAATTAAATAATGTTTTAAAAAATAAGTGGATTGTGTTTGGAATTCTTGCTGATATGTAATTTTATATAAGATATATCTTTGTTCTCTATTAGTGAATTATTGTGGTAATGTGGAACCTTTACTAAAAACAGTCTATACAGTTGGCCAAGTACTTGGATATTCAAAATAGTCTGGCCCAGAAGGGGGTTGGGCCAGACATTGAAAAGTCAGAGTGCCTTTGCTCAAAGCTAATCAGCTGTTCTCCTTAGCTATATACAATAGGTCATTTCTGGTGTTGTATTATACAATTCACTTCATCTCTTTATTAAGGTAAATATTTGAGAATGGAAGATAAGCAAATAAATCTTGGACCAAATGAATGTGTCTTAAAACGACATCAACATTTATGTGTCAGGTAACTAAATCAACATTTTACTTCTTAAACTCAAGATAAGAATCCTTCCTGAAAAACATGTTAATGTGAAAGACCAATTAACTCTGTAAGAAGGGAAATAATATATTTTTAAATGTAGATAATGTGAATCAGGGTTAAATGTTAGGAAAAATGACTTAAGGCCAGTAGATAGATATTTGTGTAAATTATGTCCTAAAGCTGACCCTTACAAAATACTTGAATTAGTCAGACTGGGTTTCCATTTATGGTCATATTAGTATTTCCATTTGATTTTGGGAATTTCAAAATTGGTTGTAAAAATTTGCTTCAGGTAAAACTTGAAGATAAGCATCAGGGGTTATGTTTTTTTGGTGACTGTCTCTGGGAAAAGTAAGTATGTGAAGTGATCCAGAAAATCCATCTAGACAGTTGGGGGCTGGCATTATCTTGAGAGGGAGAAGAGAGTACAGATAAAACTTTCTGTGACAGTTTCCCTGCCTCATTTTAAGTCAGAAGAAGGAGACTGACTACTCACATTATTTGTTACTTTCACTTGAATGCAAATAACTGTTTTTGCAATGAAAATATTTTGAGATGATTTCTCATTGATTTTGAATAAAAATTTGGCTAGTTTCAAATAATGCTATAGAAACCTGTGGGCAATATTATAGTTGTAATTCTGCTGTACCTGACAATCGTGAGGTCTGATTTAATAATAGAGAAGCGTAGGATTTTAGGAAGTTTTGTTTCCAACTTTAACTTTTCTCCCAATTTCTACATGGTTATCTTGACCCAGTTGAAATCAGTGGGTCCAAAACCGAGATCTGGTCACCTTTCTCATTGCTTATTTTTTCCCTCAGACTTGAAACCTTGGTTTCATATTACACTCTGGTTATGTCTACTTTGCTCTATTTACAACCGGTGAATCAGAAATGTCAGTTGACATTTTTTTATTTTTAATGATTTTTTTCCCCTATGTGATATTTTTATTCTTACAGCTACTGCATAGTCCATCCTCAGATTAACACATACCCTATTTC